ACGACATGGCTATGATCTAGCACTGTAGTAAGAACTGAAAGATGGTGAATAAATCTGATTGCTCAACTCATGCTTGAAAGTAGAACAGGTGCTTACATAGAATGATTAGCTAATGAACTAATCATGAATGCTAATAAATACAATCATAAGGATTTACTATTAGTAATGCTTTCCGAAAAAAAAGGAAACCCAGCAAACCATAAAGCCTATCATATTCCTTGGAGTCGGGAAATTATTCCTCCTAGTTGGGTAAGTCTTGCGAGTACATTGCGTACCCAGGGTTTATTTACCCCTGTTGTAAGTGCAACTTGAGGAGTGGCTTGTGTGGAGGATTTTTCTAGTGGGCACAGATGGATTCTTGTATCTTATCGTTAGATGTCATTTTGATTCCGCCATTTAATTTTCGCACTCTAAACCTGGTATTGTAATAATTTATTTTCCAGAACTATTGTTATATGAAATGGACTAAGTATTATAAACTCGCTCTTATTATTGCATCCTGGACGAAAAATATGGATTATTCGGGTTATCTCTTGAGGTGCCCAACGGAACTATTTGATGCACCTCACTTTTGAGGTGCTTAATTTCTAATGAAAATCGAGCGTCACCGTAAGTGTGGTCTTTCGAACGGTTCTGTCACACCCCCTTAATTGTCCTAGGTCCGCTGCTACCCACTTAGGGCGCCCCCAACGGGGTAGCTCGGAGCCGGCTGAGTCATCCTGCAAGCCAACGTGGAGAAGAGAACGTAAATACATCCTCGCTAGCGATAACCAACTAGTTAGCCGATTGCACGGTTCCCGAGCGTTGGCCCCACCATGTGAGCAGCTGCTCGGCATGCTTCCTCTCCCATGCGCTTCCTTCCTTGCTGCATGCGCCTGCCTCTGTGTGGTAGATAAGACTGGCTTGGAGAATGTGAATTGTTGGAAAAGTAAATTTGGTGTGCTATTCTATTTGATTACGTGGATACCCTTCTAACTAGCAGCTGTCTAGGACTGTTGAGGACGCCCTTATGGGGGATTGTTTAGTTGCATTCGTATTATCTCAATTTACGTACGTCGAAGTGGATTGAGATATAGTTTGTTAATTTTTCATCTGAATACACGCGGATGAGGAGAGTATGAGTGTAGCTAAGACCTTTATTACGAATCCATTGAAGGTGTCATTCTAAAAAGAAATATTGAAGATAGAGCATAAGTTATTTGTCATGGTCAAAAAAAATGTGGCGCATAACTCTGAAAAAAAAACAAGATTATGATGCATGTTTAAGACTGGATATTCATTTTATAATATTTAGAAAATCGTGCAACAGGCCAGCACTAGAACTCTGGAAGTATGTTTGGATATGGCCCTCGTTTGGAGCGATCACCCAAGCAGCTGAATCCAATCCTAGGCGCTCGGAAATGAACATGCGAACCCAAACTATAGTATCTAAATGTGAGTTTGATAGGGATCTAGATTCTTCTAGAAAAGATTTAGATTCTCTTTAAAAATGTTTTCTGCTGAAATAGAATCACTTGGCAAAAATTGATAAAACTGTTTGACTATTGACCAGAGCCTCCTTGAAATGAACTAAACAATATTTGGGTGGGTTTATGGGTTCCATGGAGAATAGCTTCACTGGACAAAGTGTGTGAGAATCCGAAATATTTCTGTCATCCAAATGCACCATTAACCGTGTGAAGCTTCTAATTCTACAAGTAGTGTGGGTCGTGAGCCCGTGACATATAGCTGTTAAAATTTGTGATTATATATTTTTCTGATCTTATCAATGGGTCTGATTCTACGATACTATATTCAATAGGATATATATTTCTATAATTTTTTATTAAATTTACAATCATATTATCCTACCCAAACTCCTCCATTCAATTTAGAAACGACCTTGCCCGTGACCAGCCAACGATGTTTTGCACAGGAACTCCAGGCCATGGCTAACAGTTGTGGTGGTTATAGAAAAGTGAGTAATACATTAGTGCATCGAACGAACTTGTCGGACCAGCTCATTTCGTCGTAGGACTACAATAAGGAGTACGTGAGCCTACGTGAGCGCGCGCGCATGGTGCACCGTGCACGCCTGCACGGACGAAAGTGATCTAGTTTTACCTTCTGGCGGACCGCGACATCGGGTCCCGGCGGTCGAGCGTCGGCGAGGGCTCCGTCCCAGATCCGCCGGCGAACCTGGGCAGCTGCCTGGACGGCGACCCGACGCCCTTCGGACCCGGTGATCCGGCCCCGACCATCCTCCTCGCCTCCTCCAGCCAATCCTGCGTTTGCTTGCTCGCGCTGCTGCCGCCGCCGCCGCTCTTCCCCTGCTTCTTGTTCCCCGCTGGCGATGCGAGCCTCTTGCTGCTCTCGCCAGTCAGGTCGTAGCCGCCGCCGCCGCCACCACTGTGCCGCGCGCCGACCGTTCCGAAGAACCAGTCGTTCATGAAGTCGGTCAGGTCCGGCGCCCCGTCCACCTCCGTGCTGGCAGCTGGCTGCGCGCGCGTCCAAGGACGATGCCTCGGGTGCTTACTTCTTATTAGCTGGCTGCGTATTAATTTGGAGATGTTTCTTTCTCTGCGAAGGTTTTGGATGCAGGTCGCGGGCCGGCCGGGGTTTTGCCCTGCTGCGGAGATGAAGAGGTGGCGGAGGATCGGGACGGCCGGGCTGGGCAGTGCCGAGAGCGCGTCAACTGATGTGGCGGCCGGCCGTGGGCGGCGTCTTGTGTATCGTAGCGCAACCTCGGTAGTTCTCTTTAGGTGAAAGTCAAATTTTCAGAGCCCTGGACGCTGATTTTGAACCGGGTAACCGGACGTTCTTCAATTGTCAAAAGCGGAGATCTGAGCAGCTATTGTACTGACCACTATCAACCCGCCGCCGCACGTGCCCTCTGCATGATGCCAACGACTCAACATTGCGTCCATGCACGCCAACGCCAGACTCGCCTACGCGCCCTGCATCTGTAGAGTGTGAGCGCATAAATTTGAGTGCGTCTGTGCATCTACAGTCGTACCTTATTTCAGAATATATAATGATAATAATCGTCATCGTGTATAGATTCCATACAAAACAGGTTCATTTGATCGAATAGATATAAGAGACTCTGTATCCGTTCTAATCGTTAAAAATAGAGATTTTACAACAACAACCACACCAACAACAATAAAAGTCTTTTAAGTCCCAGACAAGTTGGAGTAGGCTAGAGTTGAAATCCAGCAGAAGCCATCAAGGTTCTGACACGTGAATAGCTGTTTTCCAAGCACTCCTATCTAAGACTAAGTCTTTAGGTATATTCCATCCTTTCAAGTCTCCTTTTATTGCCTCTACCCAAATCAACTTCGGTCTAAAAATAGAGATTTTAGTTAGAAAATAATCTTCTACAACTTCTTTAATTAGATACCAAATGGAGTCATTTTCTAAGTTTCTCGCTAACCAAATACGGAGAGCGACTCCCTAGAGTACGCACAAGATATAAAAGAGTTGCTATATTGTGGAAAGATATAGAAATCGGTTTTTTTATTCAAATGATTCTTTAAATGACGATTTAGAGAGCGCGAGATTTAGAAAGACGAGTTAGAAGAAAAAATATGAATATTTTCAAGTTCTGTAGAAAATGTGTTAAGTGAACCGGACCGACCAATGTCGGTAAAGTTCTATTCCAAACGCGTTGCACCTGTCACCATGATGTTGTAGCACATAATCAATGAAGGAGCTTATGATGCATCATGCTATTTTCAGGTTACCTTGAGATGTCAGGAGAAGTATTGATAATGAAGATACCTCCTACAAAGCCCTGAGAGGAAGGTCTTTGTTTTGCTGCTTGTTGTCGCAACTAGTTATTAAGCAAGGGTAGTCAACTCCACTCTTTTCGCGAGAAGTCTTATTTTTAAGATGGAAAAGGACAGATATATCTAGACTAGTACATCCGCCTTGCCATCCAAATCATTGATCTATTTCTTTTTTTGAGTATTATGCGTGGACATCCCGACCTTGTTAAGGATAGAGGTAGGGGTAGGTGTTGGGCATGAGCTTATGATGCATCATGCATGTACGTACAAATGTGTAAAGCACTTCTCTACCTAATATTAAAGAATAAAGCGTTTCTTCTGATCCGTTTTTTACTTCCCAAACTCCCCTCACACCCTCCGCACTCCATATAGGGCATGTTCACTTGTCTCAATTCTGGATAAATTTAGATGGGTTGAAGGAACGCTGGAGGAATTTGTGAGAGAAAAACACTGTTCCGGATGAAAAAATAAGCGAATCAAGCCAGGTTTAATGGCACGCGAACGGGGCCATAACCCGGATTCGTGGCCCGTATATAGCCAGGATTCATGCCCGTGCTCATATATGATGAGTTAGAACAATTAGCACATCGAATGTAGAAATTGAATTTCCGTACCCGTACTAACACTACAGGGCACATCGTAAGTAGCTAACTTGACAATGACAATTAGCACATAGAATGTAGAAACTGAATTTCCGTACCCGTGCTAACACTACAGGGCACATCGTAAGTAGCTAACTTGACGTGACAATTAGCACATAGAATGTAGAAACTGAGGTCTAAACAAGGTAGCAATTACCCTTTAAATGAATCGATTGTACAGATCAGAAGGTTAAAATTAGATTCCAGTCCTGCCTACATGAATCTGTGACTTCATGAGAATTTGAATATACACAAAAGGTACCATGTGAGTAACAGCGGCATATTAATACCAAAATACCTCGGTAGTTGGTATTCTCAGCAAACTGAGGAAATTAAGCATCTTCAATGTAGGAAACAGCAAAAGGTTTCCAAAAAGGCATGGAGACGTCTGTTGACATTGTTATTCGAGATGATCAACATATAGTTACCCCTACAAAAGAGTCCAAGCAATTAACGAAAGCAAAGCTAAGAGCATACAACATATTATTCTCCCTGTGTTAGCCAACAATAAAAATGAGAATACAGAATAGTCACCATGTTGATGAAGGAAAGAGAGGAACTGTTACAACAAGGAGCTCCGTAACACACCTTATGCAGCTGCAATCAATTTCTCTGTCTTCCTCTTCAATCGTTCCATAAATTGAGGATTAGCCTTAAGTCTTCCTTTAACATAAGCATTTCTGGCATCCTCAACAAGTTTGTCAGTTTTTATTGCATCTTTTATTAGAGTATACAGTGTCCTCAAGCAGTCTTTTCTGTTCTCTTCCCGATGTTCAAACCTGCCAAAGCAATCAAATTGCAATGATAAGGCTATCATCCTGGAGATCATGATTCCTATTAGTATGAAGCAGAGCCACAAATAATATAGCACAGTTTTGGAAATGCACAAAAAGACCCAATTCTGACAGTAGCATGTTTTATGGACTATTTTAGTGATGGATGTCGTACACAATTTCATAATCTTAGGTTTAGTGTGCAAAGAGAGAATTCATTATACCTTTCACTGATTATTGTGAGCTCATCTTTCCCAGAATTATACCTCTTTCCAACAACCTCACGAAAGCATGTTGTGAAAGTCCCAGTTCCTTCACAGTTACACTGAGTTTGACTTCTCTGTTTTTGGGATGATATGCATCGCCACTAGGAGCAAACACAATCCGTGATTCCCACCTTAGAACAGGTCCCTCACCAGGTAGATCATCTAACTCAACTTTCTTACTTCCTGATCCAGTCAGTTCATCAGCGTCAGTTGGCATCTCTGCTTCAATTAGTTCAGTGCACTCGGCAACCATCTTGTCCTCAAATTCTTTGAACAACTCATATGCCCGATCAGGTTCCATCTCTCCCCTCTCACACATGTCTCCCAACTCATTAAATTTGGCCTCCACCTTTTGCTTGATCTCATCTGGATGTAACATGTGAAGTTTCAAAAAAGAAATAGAATCACAATACTGCTGTACAGGAAAATGAGAAAACACACCCATAGCTATTATACTCAAAACAATTACAAGTAATTACATATCTATATTTCAGGCATGAACAAAATAAAAACAAAACTAGAAATTCACGCCCGAATACTCAACATGCACACAAAGACTAGACTGTTTGCATGGTATCATAGCATCCCTACTGGAAATAAATCAGATAGTATGGTGACAAAAAGATGCCTTACAAGCAGAAATGCCTATTCTATTGACAAGATATGCTTGTTATCACAAGTACGATCTGGACCACTGCCGACTGGCGACTTCTATAATAGCAAGTCCAACGTACTACCCCATCGTGACAGGTTTTATTCTTTGGTCTACACCTATAGCTAAAAATTCAAATACTCTATGTATCGAGCTATATTTTTCAATGATCAGGATGAACTTTTATAAACTACAATTACTATGATCCCCTGATATACATTGTTGATGACATGATTACCCCCTTGATGCATCTTGGATCTACCATACAAGGGAGAACAGGCAGGTGCCTGTGATCTATGTGCAGAGGGTGGCACATTGTACCATCTGAAAACAACTGAAAGGCAGGATGGAACTGCTTCAGATGCTGACTTGGTTGGGGACCCAACATCACATCAACCCACTACTGACACATACTACTAATAAAAGGAGCATGCATGCCAATTTAGCTGAAATTGAAGAAGCTAAAGATATGCCAAGCTAACTCATTTGTGTGTATCACCAAATGGACAGAGAAGAACATGGCAACACTACCCTCTTTGAAGTTAAACCACAATTGTCTCTGGAATCTTTTTGTTTGCTGCCAGAATAATAAAGTCTTATTTGGTTACTGATGCAAAGTTCAATATATAAAGGCCATCATATGCTAAGTTCAACTTATCAGTCAGAAGAGCAAATGAGATAACAACGAAAATCCTTTGTACGCATGTTTCTATAGCTTGTTGACAACATTTCTAACACAACAGAAACTCTTAAAAAACATATCACCATTTTCTGTATGTACACTACGATACCCTTATATTACTTAGGGCCTGTTTGGATCCCCTCCTCTAAACTTTAGAGCTCTAAAAGCTTTAGAGCACTTTAGCTCACTTTTGAGCTCTCAAACTCTAATGTGAGGTGGCCAAAGTTTAGAGCTAACTTTAGACCACTTGTTTGGAGCTTTAGCTCTAAAGTTTAGAGGAGGAAATCCAAAAAGGCCATTATATGAATCAATTTTGCAAGAATTTCACAAAGCCAACACTCTGGTAATTACACTCTTGCCAATATAACCAGTTGGCCACTTATATATAACAAAAGCAACAACTAGATGATCATCACTCAACAACCAGCCCAGCATAATTCCTTAAATAAGAAGCTATGAAGCATTCAGTATGGTATAAAGATGACAGGTGTCTATATAATTCATAGATGCACTCCTTGGCCAACTGAAAATTGCCTATATAATCAAAGGAAATGCAAACTGATAAGAATTTGAAGCATAGAATAAGAAAAGAGATTCATTTTAATCACAAAACTACTTGGCCAAAGCAATCCAATGATGACCGTAAAATGTCAAATCCATTACATCCTTTATCTCCAACATCCTAGTCATTAACTTCTCATTATAATTAGAGATTTCATTTCCAAAAGGTTCATAATATTCATAATAATAGGAGCAAGATAGAGAAAGCTTCAACTGAACATACCACGCAGGTAACTTGTCCCAGTAGAGCATGTCCTCGAGGATTCCCTCGCACACCTTCATGTTAGTAAAGCAGCCCTTGTCTGTGGCCTCCTTCATCCAGGCATCCCACTTGGTGTCATCCATGTTAAACAACTCATTGTTCTTGATCTTCTTCTCAACATACTCCCTCGCACTGTAGAGGTCATTCAGCTCCTCGTCGGTATCATGGATCTCCTCAAAATCAGACTCAAAGTCTCGGTCACGGACTTCAGGGAGTGGCTTACTACGCAGCTCCTCAATAAGCTCATCATCAGTCTCACTATGGGCACCCGCAAGATTCCGCTCAAGGCCAGCCTCAGCGACGGATGGTAACTCTGTCTCTTCATCCACCCCATAGTAAGTCTCCAACCTCTTCTTCAACTCTACAATCAGAGACATCATAAGGACCAGGGTTCCAAAAAGCGGCACTAAGCGCACGCTTCAGCGCGCTGAAGCGCTAAGCGGACGGGTAGCGCTTCGCTATGGGGCATAAGCGCTCCCAAAGCGGCGCGACCGCCTTTGGTGGAGCAGCGGCTGCTGGCTCGCGCTGCCCGCCGGGCGCGCGGCCGCAGGGGCCGTGCGCCGTCAACGGCCCAGCGGAGGCGGGAGGGGAGAGGGAGGTGCGTACGCAGGGTCGCCGGCCGGTGTGCGGAGGACGGACGCGAGGGCGCGAGGCGACTGGCGAGAGGCGGGAGCAGGAGCCGCTGACGCCGTCGAAGAGCCTGGGACTGCCCCGCCGTCGCTGAGAGCCCGAGCCTGAGCGCCGCCTCCGTCGCCTTCATGCCGAGCGCGAGTGGGGGACGGAGCAGAAGATGGAGCGCCGGCGCTGCGAGGAAGATACGAAACGGCGGCGGCTATCAGGCTGTGTGCCTTAGTGCTAGGGTAAAGACTATGCGGCGGTGCGTGGGTTTTTTTAGATGGGCCACAAAATAAAAACCCATACCATCTCTTTTCTCTTTTCTTTTTCATTTCTTTTTTCTTTCTTACATATTTTGACAAATTAGCACATAATCTATATATTTATATATCTACAATAACATATTTACCTATGATATCGTGAAGCCACATCAATCTCCATTATCCTCTATTGATCCCCATGTACTTGTAATTAAAATTCCTTGCTCCACTAGAAGACATTTGATTTTAACCTAGACTAACGTCCATTGGGCTTCCTAGCCTCCTGTCACGGTTCCGCAACGAATCGGACAGATAGCTTGAGAATTGAAGATCTAGGGAGAGAAGCAGGAATGGGACGAAGGATAGAGATAGATTTCTTTGAGGTTTTAGAGTTTCAATTCTTCGTTAGAAGACACAACGGCCTCAGGCATTATATACCAGCCCGATTCCTACCATATATAACGCTCGTTAACTCACCATCAACTCACACCACTACGGCTTAGCTATCACCATTACCCTACCTTGACTGACGTCGTTTGCTCTATTGCCAAACGCGCAATAATACTCCTCGTCCTTCTTGCCCTCTCCTTCGTGGCCTTGGCTTTGCCCCTCCATCGAAAAGCTGCTTGTCCCCAAGCAACAGTGGATGGAAATCGTCGTCGGAGATCATGAGCTTCCCCCCACGCCGTCAAGGTTGGTGAGTGATCAGACCACTACACCTAAATTTGTGACATTGAAGAAGCCCCTTTCTACACCATACGTGAAGCTAGAAAATGGATGGATGGGTTGGACAATCGTGGAAGGATCATCTAGAACCAAAGTGATATCATCATCCTTTAAATTCATGTAGCAACGCACAGGGAAATCATCTAGTTCAATGTATCTTGGATGCTTTGAGTTCTGTGATGTTAGGGACCCCATTAGTGTTTTCACGACCCAATTACATAGCCAAGAGACTTGTGAGATAATGATTAGGGCCCATTTGTAGCCCCTAGATGTTTTTTTATAAATACAAGCTCTATTAGGGGGAAATTGTGAAAATTACCCTTCCACCTCCCCTACAAAAGGGCGAGAGGGGGAAGGTGGAGACGGACCTAGCCATTGATTCATTTGTTCTTTCTTAATTGCTCTCCACTCTCATTTCTAATTTGTTCGGTCTAAGACCAAAATTTGAATCTCTGTTGCATCACAAAATGCTTAAGCACGCTTAAACTCTAGGCCGTAGGTCATTGACCGCTTAGCGCTTAACGCCTTTTGTAACCTTGATAAGGACATACCAACATGATTCTTATGCATGACACTTTTTAGGTTTCTATGTGATAGCATTACAAGTAAGGCATTATGCGTTAATGTGGAGCACAGTTTGTCAACACATCATTTGCCGTGCTCGGACATGATGTATCCGAGCAGCTTCCTCTTCAGAACCTCGAAAACATATTTTTTGGGATTCAATTTGACGCTAAACCTTCGGAGGTTCATGAATGTTGCGGCCAAGTTTGCAATCAGGTCGCTAGCTTGAGATGTTTTCGTCACTACGTCATCTACATAGACAGCGATTATTGGTTTCAGCCACTTGACTTGGTCAGGTTGGTCGGGCAGGTCGATTTGGTCGGTGAAGCGCCGCTGCATGCACCATTGATAGGTGGCGCCAACGTTCTTTAGACCGAAAGGCATGGTTATGTAGCAGTATAAACCATACGGGGTGATGAATTATGTTGCGACTTGGTCGGACTCTTTCATCGCGATCTGGTGATAGCCTGAGTAGGCATCTAGGAAGAAGAGGATTTCGTATCCTGAGGTGGAGTCTTATCTAGTCTATGCGTGACAAAGGAAAATGGTCCTTTGAACACGCCTTGTTAAGGCCAGTATAATCAACACATATTCTCCATTTTCCATTCTTATTTTTCATAAGAACAGAATTAGCTAGCCAGTCAGAGTGGTATACCTCTTTGATGAATCCGGCTGCCAGGAGTTTGGTGATCTCCTCGCCTATGGACATGCATCTCTCGTCATCAAAGCGACGCAGGCGTTGCTTGACAGGCTTTGAGCCCAGGACGTTGCGTAGTGCGTGCTCGGCGACCTCCCTTGGTATGCTCGGCATGTCGGAAGGTTTCCATGCGAAGACATCGCAGTTGGCACGTAGGAAGTCGGCGAGCTTGTTTTTCTATTTGGCTGGGAGCTTGGTCTCGACCTGAACCGTCTTGGTCGGGTTGGTAGGGTCGATCTCCAGCGCCTTGGTTTCCTCGGTCAGATGGAAGGCACTTGAGGAGGTTGGCTCGTTGCAGTCGGGGACTATTGGAGTCACCGAATTCCCAAGCTCCAGGAGCTCGGCGGAGTCGATGATGGTTGTGGCGAGTTTGTAATGCTCGCGGTCACACGTGTAGGTGTGCAAAAAGGTGCTACCCACGGTGATGACGCCATTCGGTCCTAGCATCTTCAGCTTGAGATAGGTGTAGTTGGGGATCGCCATAAACTTGGCGTAGCATGGCCACCCCAAAATGGCATGGTAGGACCCCGAAAAGTCCACTACTTCGAAGGTTAGGACCTCCGAGCGGAAGTTGGTGCGGTCGCCAAACATGACAGGCAGGTCGATCTGCCCGAGTGGGTACGCCTGCGTCCCTAGGATTACGCCATGGAAGGGAGAGCTCGCTGAGCGGAGCTCTGACCGGGGGATGCGCATGGTGTCGAGGATGTCGACATAGAGAATGTTGAGGCCGCTGTCTCCGTCCATCAGCACCTTGGTGAGGCGCTTCTTACGGACGATGGGGTCGACGACGAGCGGGTAGCGACCCGATCAGGCGACGTGGGAAGGATGGTCTCGCTGATCAAAAGTGATCAGGGAGTCTGACCAGCTAAGAAAAGAGGGGACGGCCGACTCGACGGCGCATGCCTCTCTGTAGCGTTGGATCCTCCAAAGATCATGAGGCATTCCTTAGGGTCGAGAAAGCCATCTTCATCCTTGCCCACCGCGTCTCCTTTCTTGGCCTCCTCATCCTTGCCTTTCCCTTCCTTTGGCTTGGCGGCTTGTCACAGAAAGTGCTTGAGGAGTTCGCAATCCTTTGTAAAGGTGTTTAACAGGATATACGTGGTTGATACATGGACTCTCCATGAGCTTATCAAAGTGGTCGGGCTAGTCCTGATGGGCCGCTTGCCCGCTCGGTCAGCCGCAGCGACCAAAGCTGGGTTGGCCGGTCGGCGCCGATTCTTCTTGTTCTTCTTGCCCATTTGTGTGGAGGGGCCCTCTCCTTGGTCCTCGCGCTTGGCCTTGCCCCTGTCCCGACCACCGTTGAAGACTGTCCCGACCGCCTCCTCGCCGGAGGCATGGTTGGCGGCGATGTCAATCAGGTCACGGGTGGTACGGGGCTTCACACAGCCGAGCTTGTGGATCAAGGCCGGACATGCTCCCGAACACGTCGCACACGGCGACGTAGTTGCTCAGCTTGCCGAGCGCGCGCATGTCGTCGACCATGCGCTGCCACTGCAGGTCGGCCACGCCGCCAGCGTCGCCGAGGGAGACGATGATCTCGTGCAGAAATTAAACTGTGGTGGCGGCCGTGGGAGCAAGCGGACTCGAAGGGGCCAGGCCACCGTGGGCGACGTGGACGAGCTCAGCATGAGGGAGGGCGATGGTGCGACGAGTGCGGATGCAGGGCGGACGGGAAGAAGCTGGGGCGCGAGGTCCATGGCGCGGACGTGCAGAGGGATGGGAAGATATGGGTATTTTGGACATCTTCGTTGGCCGGGCCCACATATTAGGGTGGTTAAACGATAAAAATCATACGGAAGATGGATGGAATGGCGTGGAAAACAAGAAAATTTAGCGTCGTGATATCATAATGTATTCGAACTTTTCGGTACGAATCAGGACCGTCTTTCATAATGACACGAAGGTAAAAGGCCCTTGGGAGAGGCAGCTGCACGTTGTGCTTATCACTTTTGCCTAAGCCCACGAGGCGAGGAACGATGACTTCCATTCCCTATGGGCCGGATTTGTTCGTGGCCCTTCGATTCTGGATCAAATTGGTTAATCGAAGGGCAAAGGTACACTAATCTAGGCCCACTATTGTTCCATTCCGGTTGCTTGAAAGTAATCTGTGAGAGTTTCAAAAAAAAAGTAATCTGTGAGCACTGAAACGCTGACGACTTATTTAGAGCCACTACGTTGCTCAAAAAAAAGAGTGACTGCAACCAAGTCCTCAAATTTTTCTCCCTCTCCTCAATTCTCTCAAATGGGAGCTCCTCATTCACGCTTTAGCCTATATTTCTCAGCGAACTCTAATAGAGTGTGCGTGGGTGTTGAGCGTACTCGTGTAATTCACAAAAAAAGATTTTTTTAATGTTTTTACTTTACATTGTTTTTATCATGGGCCATGCTAATCGCCCACACTTATCAGGTTTGTGGGAAAAGAGAAAGGAGTGAGAGAGAATGAGGGGCTCCCTGCATCTAGGAACCAAGAGAGACAAATAAGAACCCCTCATCTATCGATGGTTGGATAGTAGCTCGATTTAAGAGTTTTTTCATGTGTTTGAATCTTTATAAAATGGGATGAGGGCTCAAATAAGGTTTTGGTTAGAGTTAACCACGTCCATTCCAACAGCTAAGGTATTTTTTCTTAAAAAAGAACTGGTTGAAGTCAGAGAAGATTAACTCATGGTATAATATGAATGGTTGAATGCATTTTATATTTTGAAACACTGAAACAGGGTGAATATAGCGTCGTGTTTACGATTGGAGGAGGTTTATCCCCCCGTGAATCTTTCTCACGTGTCCGTGTCGTACCCTAGTAGCTTAGCCTACAGCTTAGTGTTTGCTTTCGCCACTGGGCACGCAAATCGGTGATGAAGGTGATCGCTCGCTCACTGGTTACCTACGACGGCTACACCA